CCGAGGAAACGCCCTTTCGCCCCGGATAATCCCCCGTGGAATTACGAACGATTCCACGTTGATGCGAGTAATTTCACAGCGGATAAAAAAGAACACCGTTTTCTTGCTGAAATACCGACGGCGATTTAGATATCACGAGACAGAGAACTTTGCTATATAACGTGTTATGCTATATAGTGCAGACGCAGGTTTTCTGTTCGACGGAGTGACGTCCGACGATCGCCTCTGTCGATAGAAGCAATTTGGATGCGAGAACGTTCGCTGATTAGAAATCCCCAGCGTTAGATATCGCTGGAGGAGTATCAGCGAAAATGATCTATCCTTTCCCTCGAGATTGGCTCAAGACCACAGATCATGCTGATCGAATCTCGGTAATAAGAATGCTTCTGTAAATTCTAATGAAATTTCACTGGAAATTCTATCGGAATTTCAACATCACAGAGAAAAGAGAGACTGCTGCCCCCTTTCTCCGGCGAATAGCTCGAAACGAGAGATCCAGACCGCGAGATACGATTACCGAACAATTATCTTCGTTGTAAATTGAACAACGTGTATCCGGCGGTGATCCCTGTGGCTCGACCAGCTCGGTAGAGAACCGACAATCCCGCGAACACGTGCACACAGCGATGAAAACTCGACGACGACGACGACGATTCGCTCGGTGTTTCCAACAAATTAATATGATTATCCCGGCATGCACCGCGGCCTCCTATTGTGGGGCTCGCCTTGATCTTGAAAGGTACGATGCCCAGTGAAAGCATAACATTAGAGACGCGCTACTTATTTTTGCCAAGCGAAAACCGGGACACAGGCCGCCGGACGATAAAGAAACAACGGGGAGAAAAGAAATAGAAACACACGTTGAAAATAACGAACGAACGGGACGGAAGTTTGTCTCCATTACGATGCAAATGAACGATGGTTGGTCCGCCAACTGGTGGAATTTTGCGCGCGATCGGCCTCAATTTTTGCCATCGCGTCGTCGTTCGGTAGTAGCTGTTCGTTAGGAGCGCACACGCCGATTTCTTCATCAGTTTCCTCCGTCCCTGGGAAAATATTTTTGCGCGCAAATTCCTCCCTGCTGAGCGCAGCCACTGCGATCCAGGCCAGTCTCGATTGGCAAGAACAAATTAAGCCACACGGTGTACGCGTTAATTGGGTAATTAAAGGAGGCCGATGGCGCAATACCCGCGTGAATTTAATTCGATCGAATCCGCCCGCTTGACTGGTCGGCCGCGGGACGACTCGTGGAGACTGGACGATTGGTATCACCCCTTAAAGTCGCGTCTCAGCCGATAAAAAAAAATACGTAGCCCTTATTTTTTACTGCTTAACAGATGTACGAAGTTTCATGAAAATCGGGGGACACTTCCATGCCTTTCCTTGTTAGTCTTTCGAACAACACGGAGCACCAAAGTCATCAGAATCGGAGCCGACTGTAATCGAAGTGCAAATATCGGTTTAAATCAACTCCAGGAAGGTCGAAACTTGGCAAACCGCGTTTAGAACAGTGTCTATACACCGTGGCCTGGGTCCACGCCCGATCCAATTTAAGCGTAATATTTCAAGCATAATTTATACCCGATCCGTTATAGGTATAGCCAAAGTCCGCCTCTCTATTTCAGCCTCTAATTTCCAGAGCTAATAGATCCCGCGTGAGGCCTATTAAGTTCCGGGGCCAGGCACAGAACTTACTTCTCCGAGCTTAATAAAACATAAATTCTCTTATGGGAGCAGTACGTGCCCACGTGGGCACGAGGCCAGCCCGACAAAAGGAAAGCGCTCGTTCGTTCTTCACCTGATAAGACCGTTTTCTCGACTACAAAGAGCCGGGGCTAACAATGAGGTATGTCGGTTACGCAATAAACCACGCGTGTATATGTGTGTCTCTTTGTGTGTTTGTATACGCTGATTGTGCAAGAAAAAAAACGACTGCGGTGTACATAGTAACGCAACGTCCCGAAAAAAGCAACAACGATTCCCGTCATATCCTGATCGTTGTTTAAAAGAACATCAGATTGTACGTAAACAACCGAAAAATCGGTTGACAAACCGGCTGACACGTGTCCGAGGATTTCAGTTTCAGCGTTGTGTGTGTGTGTGTGTGTGTGTGTGTGTGTGTGTGTGTGTGTGTCGATAATAACACGTCGATACGCTGACGTAGCAACCGACTTCGTTTCGACGGCGTACACGTGCTGTGTCATTGTCGTTATGCAACTATTCCTCGTCGACTCGGAGGAACTCTGTTGGATCGTCCCTCGACGAACACGAAAGGAAAAATATTTTTCTTCGACGACAGCCTAGGATCGATCGTGGCGAGAAAGGGTTCTGATGCTCGTTTAATCGCGATATTATGCAACCAGAAACGCGTTTAAAGAGACGACACACGAAGCCTTATCGACGGAGTCGTTGCTTTTCCTTATCGCTCGGAGCCATTGGAACGACAGAGAAACGAGTCGTTCGTTTGTTTTACCGCGAACACGGCGATTCCCTGGTGTTACATTGAACGTGACTGTGTTTGGTATGACACAATTGCTGTGGATTTTCAGACATCAATTTTCGAAACTTTACGAGGTCCAAAGCGAAATGAAACAAACATTCGAAGCAATGGAGGGGCCAAACGGAGTGAAAATCCCTGGAATCTAGCCACCGTATATACGCATGAATTAACAAGGTGTTCCGCTTAATTAAAGAGTCGGTACCACACCACATCGTATCCCTGTTACGCACCCGTTCCCGTCGCCTAGTCTTTAAAGGCCTTTAAAGCCTTAAGGCGCCTTCTAATTATTCACTTTCTCCGTGGTATCTCGCGGTGAAACGGGCCCCCGTGATCTACCGGCTCGCTCGATGTGATTTTCGATGATGGTTTTTCAATGGTGAAACGACAATGGGCTGCTTCTGATGGTCGTCGAGTCTCGAAGCTCACTTCCGGGCAGAGATGGGCAAACTTATTATCTAGAATCTAGATAAAAAGTTTCGAATAACGAATAAAAGATAATAAATATATTTCGTCATTTTAAATTGTTTAAACGTAAAAATTGCAATTTTTATAAAAAATAATACTTCTTTATGAATGAATTCTTAGATACTGTTGCTTTTCACTGTGTATTATTCGAATAAAATTCTGCCGAACTCTGCTTCCGGGGTCATTTCGGGTATACACGCATGTTCGTCGGTTTTTGAAGAAGTCTCAAAATGTCGTTCATAGCTCCGTGAAGTTAATTAAATAAATTTTCGAGCCAGTGAATAACACGTCGAATGTTTTCGTACGGGTGTTCGCCAACAACCGGTTGCTTGGCTCGATCAAACTGATGAACGTGGCCTATTAGATCTAATGGACGATGTTCGCGTACAGGATCGGTACGAGGAGCATCTCGATAGACGATATTAATATTCTGTCTGTATAAAGTACTCGAGATCGATCATCGTGGATCGAACGGGAAGGAAAAATGGAACCGTCGCTAGACGTAAGAATTCGGCAGCCAGACACGGTTACGACGATAAGAATTTTATGATAGAGATAATTCAGTGATTTAGAGACCCTTCGCTGTGAAAACACAATATTTATCTCTCCTGTGTGTAAGTATGACGCGGATGCTTCCAAAGTGTGTTCAACACTGACGTCTATTTGTCTCTCTGTTTACCTCTGACGGTTCTAATTACGCGATTATAACATCGTTCGATTGCGAGTTCCGTGTGTTTATTCGATAGAATTGCAGAAGGAAGAAGCATTCTTAATTTTCGAGAGTAAAAATAGATCCATGTGATTTTTCTGTGGGCCAGGAGTATCCAGCGATGTCATCCTCTTATATGACCGATCGCCAAACCGGAAGGAGGAATCGCTATTATTCGTGGAACGGGGAAAAACTCGCGCAGCAGTACCGGTCACCAGCTGTCATAGAAAATCAAGGGAGAGTCCGTTTGATCGAGGCCAAACACGGTCATCCGTGAAACCGCTTTCTATCCCGTGCGTTTCTCGCCGGTCCGCGCACGGCTCGCAATCTTTAAACACCGTCACGAGATAATCGATCGTTTAAAATCGCGATTACGGTTTCACACAGTCGTTCTTCGAACGTTTGTTCCTTGGAGTCTACTGTTTCGGATGATCTACCACCCAAATCATGGATCGTTTGCCCAAGGACTGCGCAACCTAACCACACGACGATCTTCACGACGATTCGAAGACACGTCTATTGGCGGACGAGATTTCCCCGGTTTTCGTCACGGTAATACAAATAGATCGAGGGAAAAAATTCGCCTCGGTAATGGCTAGTAAATGAATACACCTCGATCCATAGAAACCATCAAGTTTTCAATGATCCCAGACGGAAGATTAGTAGTTCTCGCTTATCGATACATCCGCGGGGGAAAAATCGTCCGCGGGAGACGCGTTAAGGATCCCGTGGCGGATAAATCGTCGCTCGCGGGAGAAAGTTTAGAAAGGAACGAGATCCGTTCGCGATCGTAAATATAAAACAACGTGGGGGGATGGAGGGGGAAAAAACCGAACGATCGACGCCGACTGTTTACAGTTTACAAGTCACGTTCCCGCGGACGTTACCGTAAAATCAAACAAAACCAGTTAAAGAGAGAGAAATAATGACACGGAGGGGTACTGAAAGAGAGCGTCGATACAAAAGAATAAACGATTCGACGTATGGATCCAGAGAGAGAGAGAGGATATCCGTTTCGGGATGTCGACGATACGGGGTGGCACGTTTCGCCTCTCGCTTTCTCGATAATGAGAAAATTGCCCGCGATTCGATCGATCTTGTAACACGATCTGGCCCGATCATAGACTGTCGATAAAGCACAGCCGCCACCGTCGCCGCAGGCACAGAGGCATCGAAACGGAAGTGATCGATGGGCCCGACGTACCGTTTCCGATCTACACCTCCGGATCGCGTTTCTCGACGCTTCCGCGGGGCTGTTGCCGGGTAACGGTGCCTGGCCGCGGCTCGAATCAGAAGGGGAGGGCTTAATAATTAATTTCCGCTTACCTTCGTCCGGTTCAGAGGATTGGAGAAGTCCCAGCCGGGGGCGACGAACAGATATCCGCACTTTGAAATCTTCCTCGTTGCCTGAAACAGAAAGTTCCGTTCGTATTGTAAAACGTGAAATATGATTTCAGGGGAGATAAAATGATTGGAATAGAACGATAGATTGTATGGATGTGCGCTGAAAATCAGTAGAAATAGAATACTTTCCTCCGCCATTTTGAACTCCACAGTTTTTCACTCTTTTCGTCGATTACTAAGGGTTCAATTCTCGACATCAGGATCGCCAAAATTGAAGAGAGAATTATGAAAAAAGTTCCCGGTTGCATTCCACGCGAACCTCGCGGCTAATATCAACCACGAGAAGCAATTTCCTCCCGACCTCTGCCGCCGGTTAATCAAACTTTCCGACAACGTCGCCGCGCCCGGATCCTCTTCAAACTCTATTATTATGTTTGGAGAAAGATTTAGGGGCAACCCAGCGACTAGGAAGAAAACGCGGCAAAGTGCAAAGGAAGGGGCCTCAGGACCATAGGGAAGGGAACAGAAGCCATTCAGGTGGAAAGTCAAACGAGCCCATGCATGTAGGTATATATTCCTACCCCCCCCCCCCCATCACTCACTTTGAGGGGTTGATTTAGTTACATTAATTCGATCAGATTAAAATTCTAACACATTCAACCTGTTCGGTACGGGCAACGAGTATACAAATGGTCTATAGAATATGTACTTGCTGTGGACAAAGAATGAGTATGTATACAAATCGTCTTCGAAATGCTGTTCATATGATATTTTTGTTCTTAAAAAATATACGTTCACCGGAGAGATCTATCAACTCCTCGTCCGTCCAATAAAAAAAAATTGTCGAAAGCAAAACGACTTCAACACAACTCAACGATGTTCATTTTCACGTTTTCCGCTTCATATAAGATCCACGAGACCGTGGATCATTTTATCGCGGAAAGAACAGCTGCAACGTGGCTCTCGGTTTTCCTTGGAAACCCGTTAATGGTGTTTCGCGGTACACTTCGTTTTACATCGCATTATTCTTCCCCCTCCTCCTCGAAGGTGGTGCACGCGGAAACGGTTTCCGCGGATCGACCGTACCCATGGCAAGCAGTGTTTTCGCGCCATGGACTTTCCAAATATTTGAAAAGAAACCCGCGGGCCGATACACGTATCTCGGGGGTTCGAACTAAACGATCGCCGCGGAGATATAACGCGTCACTTCGTGAATTACGCTTGGGACGAACGGCGGCCTCGGTGTACGACAGCCGAACAGCCAGAGAAAATTTCACCTAGAACATAATGCTCTCTCTGTCTCTCTGGTCGACCCAGTTGCACTGGCGTAATTAACGCACCTTATGCATGCAGCTGCTGGCGGAACACAGGTGTAATTAGAATGTGCGTCCAGACGATAGTGTCATAATCTTAATTTAATTCCTGGTGGTAGTGTCGCGCTCGCCTAACCGTTTAGAGCCGAGCACTCTGGAAAAGCACGTGTTTTTAAACGGTGCAAAAGTAACTGATACACTTTTCAAACATTTTCAGAAAATCTGACACATTTTTCAATTTTTTTTTATGAAATAAAGAACGTTTAGAGTAAATATACCCTCGCAATAAATACACGCATAATCCAGCGGGATTATTCACAATAAAATTGTACACAATTCTGGAGACTGCAGTGTCTTCAGACACAGTGGATCGTCTACGTTCGGTGACTAAGTGGAAGGTGTGTCGATTGGGAGTCGTACCAACGTATCAGAAACGTGGCTTATACATCTCGATTTCATTCCATCAAACGCATAGTATCGTGTTACTCGACAGCCGTGAAGGATTGTGCTGATCGCCGAAACGACAACGGGCACAATAAAGTACATATTTGCACGTCAACCACGTTTTTCCAGTTAACTTCACAGACTCCTGTGTTCTCTGCTCTTCCAGACCCGACTATGCAAATGTACTTTCAACAGTCACTTCAACCACGAAGCTAATAGAAATCCAAGGAAAATCTCTGATCGAGTTCGACACTGATGCCAACAAAGAAACAATGCGTCGAGTCCCCCGACGAAATTCGCCAGAAGGATATTTCTCGAGCTAAAAACAACAAGGAGAGGGTGAATTGTACGATTTTTCTGAGGACCACTTTCGTCGACAAGAGAAAAAGAATAAAGAAGAGGAACAGAGAAGAGAGCCCACGGTGGGGCGCGCTCGTTGGCAAGAAGAGTAATACGTCTTCGGTGCTTCGTGGCCGACGATCATTTTCCAGTGCGTGGCAATCACGAAACAAGGCGATCATCTGGCCGGCGGAGGAGGCAAGAACGAGAATTCACTCTGCTTTATGGAGAAATAAAGTCGAGCTGCTGCACTCGAGCTCGAAGTCCTTCTCGGACGGTGCTCCGAGTGCGCGTCTTTCTTTGGAGAAAATTATGGTGCTCCCCTTGTACGGGGCTAAACAAAAGATCATGGACACAACCCGACAAAAAACATGGGCCCCGACGATGCCTAAACACGCCGGTAACGCCACGGAATTCCATTGTGAACAGGGCTTAAACAGAAAGCTCGTCCAGGATAAACCAATTTACGGTGCGCGAACGGGCCGTGCAAACGCAATTACGACGAATCGACGGAGATATACCTTGAAACATGAAAGCCCCTTGGAGTTTAAAGACTTCCTGATTCTAATCTCTATTATTAAATCGATCCGCTAATCCTAAATCGAATTTTATTACAGCCTTCGTTTCTCGAGGAAATCGACGTTTCATTCTCGACTGTGTCTTTTTGAATGTTGCCAGTCAGTGGAAACAGTAAGAAGGGATCAGACGTATCGGTCCAACGGAAGAATTATACAAAACAGAAAAAGAATGCTAAGACAAATTGTTCAGTAGCTAACATGGAAATAAACTTCGAGATAACGCCTAATTTATCAAACGATCGATGTTACAAGGCAAGGGGGTCAATTTCGATCGCGTGAATCGGTATTCTCGTTTCCATAGAATATTCCAAGCGAATCTCTGACGATCGCCAGCCGGTTTCCCGTCGCGCTTCGACAGGGTGTGACGTGCGCAACCATGGGGACCGGAAGTCAATTGTGAACGCGACGACGGACGACAGGAAATCAGCGTGGCCCGAACGGAAAGATGTTAAACAGAGCATGGACTCGACACAATATCGATTCAAACTGGCGAAAGGAAAAAAAAAAAGAATTCCATCGAGTTATCGCCACGGACTCCTTAAATGGTTGAAATTCGGTATACTTAAAAGCTAGATGAAAATTAAAAAAATTTTTCTTTTGTTTAGAACCTGGTAGAATAATAAATAAAGTAAACAAACGTTTGTTCGACTCTAGTATCTTGTAAATCAGCTAATAAATACCTATATTCGCCATAAATATCCGCAGTCTGTTCATTAACGTACATTGTACAATTACAACCGAGACACGTAAGTGACGACGGGGTACGGTGATAAACGGGGGAATGACGAACGTGTTAATTCGTCGACCGAGTAGGATCAGCGTGAAAATTAAATGTCGAGGTCGCCACCGAGCTCTCCTATTCATAGTTCGCTTAATATGACTCAACTTTACAGGCTCTATAATCTACGCGAAGTGTATCACACTTTACTTCGAGCAAAATCAGAACTCTCGTTTGCTTGTGAAAGCTCGAGCAACACCTCTGTTCCAACGAGCCAACAACAGTCCCAACCGATATTAATAAACATCGCGATCTGCATCGACGCCTCGATAAATCATCCCCGGGGGTCAGTTATGTATCTGTCTTTCCCTTGGCCCGCGGTGCTGAACCTGATCGATCGATCGTCCGACGATTTGCTAATCCGAGGGTCGACGGAGAGTCACCGGTTGTCGGGCCAAGCTGCTGTCACAGGGTTGTTGCGTAATCGGGGCAGACACTTGTCTTGCGATTGGCAATAATTGGACAACAGGTTGATCGGTAGGTGCAGCAGTGGAGGGGATCTCTCTCTCTCTCCTGGTTTCCTCGAGGGGGATAAGTCCTTGACACGGTTCAGCTGCGAGTCCTTGCCAGTCCTTAAGCTCTAAACGCGACCCAGATACAGGCCCACTCTCGCCTCTAATCTTCCAATAAGGTCGAGACACGCAAAGCTGGTCCCCGGAACGGGCGTAGGTGCGCCGCCAGGCGATGGAACGCGGCGATCGCAGCGATCGCGTCGAACGTGACACCAAGAGAGCTCCGTTTGCGAACTTGCGCTTTATTAAGGCAATTAAAGATCTGGTCGGGGCTCCGACCACCTCGTTAGCCAATCAGAGCGTGTCGTGGGCGATGCCAATAACGAAATCTCGTTCGACGTATCCACGTGTGTGTATACAGTACGTGACGTTAGGTTGGTGAACAGGTAGAACACAGGAAGCTATGAAAGATCGAGGGTTTTGTTTCGATTCGATAACAGGAAAGAACGGTTAGGTATCTGTATAGGGTTAGTGGTTCTTTTTGTATCCGGTGATCGTTAATCCAGTCTCATCCAGTGTAAATTTTCTCCGCATGATCGAAGCTTGTAACAGTAATTCCACGATTTCTGGAACGTTCGATCCTCCACCGTGGTGATTTTTCTGGGAGTGGAAGCAATTTACCATGAAATTCTTCTCGAGGGGAGCGTAAATCTCCCATCAAATAACCACTGACGTGTGCATTGTTATTTCAATGCAATGCAAGAACGACAGGTCGACGAAGCCACGATTTCTTTCCAAGTGATTTCCCCTACCCAGGTGAGTTCGAAGCTCCTCTCTCGATGGTGTTCACCTATTTTCAGATCCAACGATTTGTCCAGACGATGTCGGAGGTTTCTACGAGCCATCTGGGAGAAGAGAAGCCGTTTCCCTGCTCGACGCCGAGCCCGTTCGGACGCTCGGTTGCTCGCGTGCATCACCACGGGAATCCCACGCGTCTCGTCGTCTGCGTATCCCACATCCGGTGTCCACACCGACCAACTCGAACCCCCCTGACTCGCTAGAAACCTGTCCCCACCAGCACACGATCCTATCGCATCGTGAAATCGATCGACGAAAGGATTAAAGGAGCCCCCCTCTTCTTGGTTTCCCTTAGAGACAC